GAGTTACAGTATTGAGAGCACAAGTTAGGTGTTAACAACCACTTATGCAGTTAACCTAATTATTTCAAGCCTGGTGCAAAAACGCATGATCGCTCCGGCTCGCCTGGTGCATTCCAGCCTGGGTTTGATATTGTGGTAAATTCTTTGGAAATGATAGAAGACAAAAACATAAATTTGAATAATTTAGCACATTTCTTGCTAATGGCAGCGTTGAACATTTTTTCCCGCTCCTAGAAACGAAAATTGCCATTGCATAGGCGAAACTCACTTCCCAATGCAGTATGAGACGAGTACGTCTGTACATTAAATGTAATTTTGTAATGTCTGGCAAGAAACAAGAAAATTGTAAGAGCGCTGGAGTTTTTCGCGATGCACTACTATTTGCTCCATCAGCGCGTGCCCAGCACAACTTTTATTTTTGTTATGCGGGATAAAATAAATTTATGTAGAACTGGTTTCGTCACCCTTTGCGAAAATTAATGGATAATTATGCCTGTGTGAAGAGGTAAACATGCGAATCCGAGCCACTTCATGAGCAATATAGTCTGCACTACACTAACCGACCGGTCTATTACAATTCTGATAGTTCTTTTTACGAAGAAGCCTTTCAATTTTATTTTCTTTTTCTAAAAACTTCTACATTTTCCATTTTTATGCGTTTTTGCTGTGCAGCGCTATAGCGAGCAGAAACCCACATTCTCGAGAGGTCTTCCTTGTGTGTTTATGTCTGAAAGCGAGTGAGCTTCATCACCCACTTTACACTTAGCAACCAGAAAAGCTGGGAAGCTGAAATTTTGGGAAAATATTCCCATCCTGTTTGTCACCCCCTCATTTTAAAACCTTTGCTCACACGCTCCTAGAACTTGCCTACGGACCCCCGGAAGAATATGCAAATTTCGTTGGCAAGAAAGATTCCGCGAACCAGACAAGATAGCTGAAATTGTGTGTGCATGCGCGAGCTAAAAATTTCAAATTCAACTATCGCGCACCCTTATACTTCATGTGCGGTTAAGTCAAATTTCGCAGTTGGCACTGTGCTAATTCGAAAACTAGCGAGAAAATAGTAGCTGAAACTTTGTTAGAGTATTTATCATTCGTAAGGGAAATCGTATACCTAAACTGGGTTTCGATTTGCATTTGCGCCACGACTTAGGTTAATTCAAAAGTATTTATAGCGAAGCAATTATTTCGCTTGCCACGCAGGCTGAGAAGTTGTAACTTTGCAAGTTTATTTTGTATTTACGTGTCGTCCTAATTCGATTTGGAGGTGAAATTTCATGCACGCAGACACGACGAATACGCAATTTTATCACAAACTCAAAAAAGAGTGCGTTTTGCAAATTTCACAATCTTCTTCTTCCTTCAAACATGCATATTTTCAATGAACGATCATTCTCTGGAAGAACGACAGGGCTTCGTGCAAAAAACTGTTAATCATGATGCTGAAGGTCCTTGCGACTCCATAGTGCAACAACTTCATCCCAGCTGACGCTGACTTCCCTTGCATGCGAGACGAGGTCGAAACACAGCCAATATGAGTTTAATTGTTAAAGTGCAACGCTGGACCATTCCTTTTAGCAGTCTGCAAGCTCAGCGCGAAACTGCATGGTCGCAGCCGCAAGTCTAATGCGTTGCAGCCTGGGTTTGGTATTTTATGCATAAAATGTTTATTCCAGCTACCGACTTTTAGTTACTTTTACGAAGTTATGAAATATTTAAAGGGAACGGTAGTGAAGCAACAACAGCGATTACAGCCAGAGTCAAATCGTTCGTTTTCCTGCATACGATTTCGTCCAGCAAGCACCAATTCATATGCTTCACTCGGTAAGTTTTCATCACATTCAACACTAACATTATGACTTAGGAACACAAAAGTATTCTGTTTAAATATGCTTAATTTATGCCAAAATTCTTCAGCACCCCATCTCATATTTTCACTGGATTCTTTTCGAAATGTAAGCAATTTTTTGAACCTTGTGATCTAGCTGACGAAGCCCTTTTTCGAAAATGGTTGCGCACCTAGTGAGAACCGAACTACTCGTCTTCACATTCGCACACGACACAATAGATCACTTGCACCAGTGGCCTTGTACTCCGTTCACTTGCTGGAGCACTTGTGTTCTGTATGTTTGGCATCCCACACATAACATGTTTTGTCTGGCTGTTACACATTGTGCAGCACACCTTTTCAACAACTGCCAGATTTTCCACAGATTGTAAATGAAATTTTCTGCTAAAGTACTTGAACTTCACGTTTTAATTAGGTGTTTTTGCTGTACAAAGCCACAGCGCTGCTACAGTGAGAAAAAACGCATACTGAGACGCTTGTGTATGTTCATGTGTGTGTATGTTCATGTGCCTGTCTGTCTGTCTGTCCGGGTATTTCAACTCGGCAACCACACAAGCTCCGGAGCCAAAACTTTGCTTAGCGGGTTCCCCGGCGAAGTGCCATTCCACGACAGCGGTACCAGTCCTCACGCACGTCTAAGCCTGAGTACGACCTCGTGAAATTTTTTGGCAGGCCTACTCGGGAACTGGAAAAGCTAGGAAGCTGAAATTTTGAGAGTATTTTTCCCTTCCACTTAGACCTCAGAGATATGGGATTCTGCTCCCCTGCCACGCGTGTTTCTCACGTGTGATCGCGCGAGATTTTTTGGCAGAAAAATTGTTAACTTGGGAATTAAAAAAGCTGAAATTTTAACAGAATGTTCCTTTTTCAAGTGTACGTGGTAGTCGTATGATTAACTCTCTGAAGTTCGAGAATTCGTATGTCATAAATTCTAGCTGTTATGATTCCAAGCGATCCTACAACAGCATGAGATACTGCATGATCGTACGGGCCAACCCGGTGCGCGTCGTCAGTGATTTGTTCTTGTTTTCAGCTTCATCCTGCATGAGCGATATCAGATGGCGTGATTCGCATGTTTCATCCTGCTCATCGACACCTTCCAGCTGGCAGCTGCTCCATCATTCGTCCCACATGGTTTGTTCAGTTTTCGAATGTACGAGACTTGGAAATGAAACATTCCATTAAATAGAACTTGTTCAGTATTTTTTAAAATTAGTCGTATTTTTCCGGGGATTTTTCATCCGCGGAGAGCCACCTAGTTTTAGAATGTCATTTTCGAGCAGGAATTGATTCTAGTTTAGTGCCGTTTAATGCCAGTAACTATATTTATGGTAGTATCGCCTCCAGCAAAAAGAGTTGAACAATACTCCAACACTGAATCTGGTAACAAAGATGAACTGAATCCATAATGCCGTAGAATGAATACTGGCTGCGCAGAGTCCAATAAGCCAACCCGACAGACTGTAAACGATCTAACATAACGCACTCATTTCATCATATTTCTGAAATTATTTTTATTATATATTCACTGTGGACACTCAGCAATTGTAGCAAAAACGCATTAGATATCACCGGGAAGCTCAAAGATAAGGTAAAATGACGATCTTAATGGTAAAATAAATGAAAAGTCAGCAAAAGGATTTGAAGAGCAATGTGCAGTCGGCATGCTGTTGAAGCCTAGAGTAGCTATGCTAAAACAAATGCGTGTAAGTGTATTAGTTTAAAGGTATATTTTAATGATTTGAACGAAGATTGTATTAAATTCAAAAAAAGCAATAAAAAGGTGTATTATGCTTCAAATACATATTATCTAAAAAATATTATAACGGGATTTAAGAAACTGTGTGCGTGTCACCTATACACATCCAAATGCCTTAACTGTAAAAAGCGAAGCAAGTGTAACGCATTAGGCCTGAAGGATTCGGAGACGAAGAAATTCGATTTCTCCAGGGTCCGTATATCTTCAAAAAAATGTCTCGTCCGCGACACAGTGATTGGAAACAGTATTCCTAACAAAAAGCTGTTCCAACCATCGCGATATCGTTCATCAGACGAGTTTAGTTGTCTTCTCCCAAAAAAAGTTCAGTATCTCTTCGCAGATATCTATTTAGCAAAAAATAAGAACCAACTTGTAACAGTTCCAGCAAGCGCTCCTCGATGTCCGCTAAAGCAGCGCAACTCCCATCAATTGACCGCTTGGCTGGCCGGAATCTGTTCCGTCCAAGAGCTAATGATCGTTTTGCGGGTCGAAAATTTAGTCGGCCTAGAGCTGATGATCGTATGACACGTGCTGAAAATCAAAAACGAGTTACAATTTTTCACTTACAAGTGGTACAAAATCAGTATGTTTTTGGCTTATTTGTCTCTGCCAGCACAACATCAGCATTAATGATTTTTCGAATGCCGAGTTTTCGTCATATTTCTTCGAGTTTTGTAATAATGTCAGATTATTTACATATATTAACTGGAGGTATGCAGTCCAGAATCAAACAGCTTGGTGTAGCTGCGCCCAACATGTAGGAGCATCCCAATAACATCACTATCATGGGATATGCGTGTCCGGCAAATTTTGGTACACTTGTTGCCGAATGAGTAGCTGGAAATAGTGACAGAGAGATGAATTCTTGCGATGCTTTTCTTTAGGAAGTATGAAAGAAATCGCTTCTGCAAAAACCAGTGGCATTTGGACAGTTTTATTTTTCAAATTTCGTATTCAACAGTTTTATTTTTTTTCCAACTTCCGATGTGCTTCTTCATTAATAAGTGTTCAATTTATAAAATGTATCTTTCATATTTTTTAATAAGTTGTTTAAAAATACGGTTCTATTTGGAAAAAATTTAGGTTACAACTAGCTAAACCGTTAGGTAGAAAATGATAAAATGCAACGAATTAAGAAATAACACTTAAGAAGGTCGAAATTTCATGCATGCTTTTATCACTGCAGCTCTGACCTCCAGTCCTATTAATGTGTATTTGCACCAAAGACATTTAAAAAATTTCAAACTTACTATATTTTAACAAGCACTAAACTCCAGCAGAATGCAGCGACCTTCTCATGAAAAAAAAATCGGGCCCTAAATTCCAAAATTGCCGACACACAGAAAATTATGGTAGCAAAAATTTTTGAATTCAGCCGTTAAGTCAACCAGAACTCGAAAGAAGGCAATAGAGCAAGCCAAGATACACTCAACGGCAGCGCACTGCGAGCCATACGTGCTCATGCATTTTCACTATCAGCTGTTGCTGCATTTGAAGAGCGCACTGCTTCGAAGTTAGAATTCACGTAGTCAACCCAGGTTTGGATTTGAGGTCATGGGCTAGGATGCAGTAAAATTAATCCAACTTGCTTAGCAGTATTTGAATCCTGGCCTGCCATGAAAGTGTCTAACTTTTGCAGTAACGTGCCCGAGATACGAGGAGAAATCACATAATCTTAAAATACTGACATTTTTTTTTAAAAAACTCAGGCTGAAACGCACCAGGCTCTCCGGCGCGATCATTCGTTTTGCACTAAAGTCGCATGTCGCTATTAGCAAGAACGATCCCTATGCTGTAGCCTAACACTTTGGCTCATATTGGCCATGCTTTGGCCCCTTCCGGCATGCAGGAGGAAGGGCGTCAGATGGTATGAAAGTGGTGCATTATAGAGCCGACCGGACGTCCAGGTGCATGATTGCCGATTTTTTGCATAAAGTCCGGTAGTTTTTTCGGTAAATGCTCGCTTTGTGAAAAGATGACAAATGCAAATTTTTTGAAAAAATGCAAATATCCAGTTCCCTAAAAAGTAAAAATATTGCTCGGGCGGTCGTTCGTCAAAAAATCCACGTTCATTTACATGTACGATTGCGGGTAAGGTCCAAGCTGCGAACTATTTTTTTGAAAATATGCAAATTTTCAGTTCACTAAAAATTGAAAGTGCTGCTCGAACGGTCGTTTGTCAAAAAATCCATGTTCATTTGCATATAAGATTGCGGTTCAGGTCCGAATTGTGAACAGTTCTTGAGTTTAGGAGCTGCTTGAAGCTGTAGTTGGGGGCTCGATAGCTGAGTTTAAATTTTTCAGCTCGCAAGCGCATAGAAAATATCCCTGCAAAGTTCCAGCTTTCTACCTTGCCTGGCTCGCGACATTGTTGCCCGCCAACATATTTCTTTGGGGGTCCCACACGCGCGGTATAGGCGCGTATGGGGAAAGATCTTAAAAAGTGAGAATGACACACGGGGTAGGAACATGTATCCAAAGTTTCAGCCTCCCAGCTTTCCTGGTTGCTGAGGTGAAAGTGGGTGGCAAAACGTAATCGCTTTTCGAACACACACACACACACAGACAGCCTCTCGACAATATGCGTTTTTGCTGACTGTAGCAGCGCTGACAAAAGCAGCGTTTTTGCTGACTTTTTGCTGACAAAAGCGCATAAAAAGTAAAAAATATCGCATGTTTCCTGAAAAAAATCACAGACATTTTCATTTCCTTTTTCGTGCCCTTAGTATCCTGATTGCATTATTAATTTAGCTACCTTTAGCATTCTCTGAAAGTTCCAGAGAAGCGTCATTCTGGGGCACGCTATCCGTTGCACTGCGCATCATACCATCCATCCAGTCTTCGATCTCTTTTGTTTGCATTCCACTGCTTAGGGTACGTTTAGCTGGTCGAAATCCCATTCGTCCAATTGCAGCGGAACGTTTGTTAAAGAAATTCTAAATTCATAGACTTGAGTGAGTTGTTCCGCTGTTCAGGTGCCATTCGTTGAGTGCTAGATATTTAATCGTGTTTTGAAAGAATACCATACTAGAAAATATACAGCTCCTTTTGGTTTACTGTTTTATCGTAGTGTCAGTAAACTACATTAGTAAATTACAGCATCACAGTTCCTTTGCATTGCGACTTATCAAAAAGAATGTTGCAGAAGTTATTTTTATCATCATTATTATTGTTATTACTGCTGTTATTATTATTATTATTATTATTATTATTATTATTATTATTATTATTATT